AGCACACTGCCTCCTCTAATATTTATATTCTAAAATATTTCAATTTAAAAGCCTTCAGCTTTATCAACTCAGAGAAGTGGTATGGCCAATCAGGACCTTATTATTATTGCCTTTGGGACTGAAATGTTTATCACACTTAGATTGGTTTACTGTTTACAGTGAGCTTACTTGTATAATTTGTACAATTATTTTGATTAACTTTGTAATGCTTGTTAAATATTTCAATAAATAATGTAATAAATAGTGAACTAGTATATCAGACTTAAAGCACACTCTAGTGGTATTCCTAGTTATTACATTTGTGAAAGTTTTTTTTTGAGTCTTTTAAACCAGCAAATTTTATCATTAACGTATCCAGTAGCATACAAAGGGAAGGTGGGGGGAAGTTGGGATAAGCAACCTCCCTGGGTGACAGATTGGAGGGGTAACAGAATGGAAGGTGAAGCACACAAAATTAAGTAATAGGAAAGCCTCTCGGTGTATTTTTGAAGATCCACTCTGCTTTATAATTTTTTTTAAAAACCTTGTATTCCTAAACTTTATTAGCTTAATTCTTGATCACTGAAATGTAAAATTCTAGGTGATGTTTTAATGTTCTGTGAATCTCGATTTGGAATAAATATTTTGGTTGGTACAGGGTCCAACTGTAAACCCCTATCTCTGTGTAATGATCTAGAATGCATAGGCTTAAAAGTACAAAAATGCCTAGCACATTCATCTGTCAAAATTCTGTTTGAAAACTTAAATGAGTAGTTCTATAATTTAGTCCTATAACATTGTCAAATGTATTAATTTAGGCACTGGTGTAGTTGAGAGATGTTGCTCAACACTAATGTGGAATTTCTTTTTTTTGGAATGCATCCTGTACACAAAATCTATGGATTAAATCCAACACATACAAAAAATGCAGGCCAAAAAAAAATATATTACTACAAAATTTGGCAGAAACTAGTGATAAGGTACACTGCATACTTGTTAATTGCCCAAACTAAATGTGCAACATTTTACTTTTGAAACAAAAAAAACCATTGAGTTCTCTGAAAATGCACAGCAATCCTAGTTAAAATGATTATTCCTACATTGAAATGCAACAGGTTTACAGTCCTGAGGCACAAATACAATGTGTACAATGTGTGCCGGACCATCACTAGTCAAAATAAAATTGGAAAGATAGAAAGAGGGTGAGCTATGTAGTGGAGTAGTAGTATTATCCACGATATCTCCGCTGGCAGACAGAATAAAGCAGGTACAAAGTAGGCAAAATCCAGGTAGAGTAGTTACAATCCTTTTCTCCCAAGAACTAGACGACACATAGCTTGGAGGTCAACTGAGGTTTTAATCACAGGTCACACTATTTATGCGAACACGGTGAACACTCAGTGTAGGAAATTAGAAAAAAAACACCACTGGTGTATATGTGGAGCGCTCAAATGTTTACCAACTTACCCATATGGGTATGCATACAAATGTACAGAGGGAAGAAACAGTGAATCTGAAACAAATATAAATACAAATGGTGCAAGTAACGCTAGGTAACAAACACAATAGGTAAATATATAGACCCACTCACATGTAACTGAGCCAATTTGGATAGGCTCAGATCACAACGGCGTGTGTGTACTTTAGGCGACACATTACCCAATCGATCCACTAGTCTTCTGTGGTCCTTATGCATACATAAAGGAAGTAAAAGAGGGAGAGGTCCTTGTGTAGTAAATCACACTGATCAATGGTGAATATTAAAATAAATTACTTCTCACCTGGAGGCTACCACCCTTCTTTTAGCAGCAGAAAAGATGGGAGAAGGACTTCAATATTTAACAAAATGTATTCATTAAAATATAATACAAATAAAAAGTGAACTAAATTATATAATAAAAAAGAAAAAAGAATGAATAAAAAGTCAATGTTAAGTCCTTGCTCCTGGCCGAGACGCGTTTCGCTGTATTCAGCTTTTTCAATCGGTGAGATGTTCCCTGCTTACGGTGGTTTAAATGTCGTGTCCTTCAGTTTGATTGGTGCTTAAATCTCTTGTTAATTCTTGTTATCCAATCATCATACTTCTTTGTATGATCGTTCCTATTGGTGGCCGTCAAACTTCCGGTTTCGAGCGCCCCAAGTGACCTAAAACGTCACGTGACGCGTCACCAACCGGAACATATAGCTGTAGCATCCATCTTGGGTGTGGGCAAGCGCCCTCTTTGTGTATAAGTTCGTAATAAACGATATTCATGCAAAAATTTTGAAAAGAAGAGAAGATAATTACGTAACATATATTTGATTGATACATATTTAGAGCACATAGTTAAAATTGATCTTTTTAAGGTGCTGATTCACAAAAAGAAATAGAAGGTACAAAAGAGTTAATTAATTAGAACTAGTTTCACAAGTTACAATATGTAATAAGCACAAATATATACAAATTTTAAAGGTGCTGATTCACAAAAGAAATAGAAGATCCAAAAGAGTTAATTGATTAGAACTAGTTTCACAAGTTACAATATGTAATAAGCACAAATATATACAAGGGATAGCAAGCCCAATCGTGACTTCGATAAAAGTATAAAAAATTACTGATAAATATATATATAAAATACATTAAAAATGTATATATATATAAAAGGCATATGTATATTCCCAGTAAAAAAATATATTGCCAGTAAAAAGTATATGAAATATGTATGTAATACCTGTATAAAAGAAAACAATATAAAAAACATATTTTATGTTAAAAAATGACAAAGTTCGAAGTCATCATTGAGACCATTAGGCTGCATAGTGTTCAAATTAAAAATCCTTTGCATTTCCCTTTGGCCAAGTTTCTTAATAAAATCTCCTCCCCTCCAATCTGGCTGTACTCTCTGTATCGCGTGAAATTCTAATAGGCTAGGATCACTATTATGCATATTCTTAAAATGTAAAGAGACACTGTGCTTTTCGAAACCATTTCTAATGTTCTTAATATGCTCTTGTATTCTAATATGTAGGTTTCTTTTGGTGCGTCCTACATATGCTAACCCACATGGGCATTTTAAAAGATAGATCACTTTCATGGACTGGCATGTAATTAATTCTTTAATTTTAAATTTAATATTCTTATTTTGGGGATGTGAGAATTCTTTAATTACTCTCTTCCTACTCTTTGAGTTTTTACACGCCCCACAGTTTCCACAACCATAGAAACCTTTCGATTCGTTAAAAAAATTTGTATTGTGTCTTTTAGGAGGTATGTGATTAAATGTCAATGTATTTCTCAAATTTTTTACTCCTCTATAAGTTATTTTTGGTTTCTCCGGGAGAATACTGTTAAGGAGGGGGTCATTCTTAAGATTGGCCAGTATTTGGAAACTATTTTCCTAAATTCTCTGTTTTTACAATTAAAATCACAGATCAGTCCTATTGTATTTGATTCTCTCTCATTTTTTATATTATACTTGATTAGATCATTTCTATCTTTTATTTTAACTTCTTCTAATGCTTTAATCAATAATATTTCTTTATACCCTTTTTCTTTAAAATCTTCGATAATTTTATGAGATTGTACTTGAAATTTGGACTCTTCCGTACAGTTGCATTTTATTCTGTAGTAGCTGTGCTTTAGGGGCGTTCAACAGCCACGGAGAGAAATGGCAACTATTCTCTTCAATGTAGCTGTTGATATCCACAGGTTTAAAAAAGGTACATGTTTTTAATATATTATCCTCAATATAGATCTGTAGATCCAAAAACTCAACTGTAGTCTCGCTATAGTTTGAAATCAACTTAATCCCCCAATCATTCTTGTTTAAATGAACTAGAAATGAGGTGAGAGATATTAAATCGCCTTGCCAAACAAAGAATATGTAATCTATGTAACGGCGATAGGCTACAAGGTTCGCGCTCCATTCACCCTCTTGGTAAATAAAATCACGTTCCCATAGGGCCATAAATAGATTCGCATAACTTGGCGCGAACCTCGTGCCCATCGCCGTTCCACATGTCTGTAGGTAAAAGGCATCGTTGAACCAAAAATAGTTATTATTAAGTATCCATCTGATGCTTTTAATTAGAAAGTCTATTTGATCTTTTGGGAATGTTCCTGATTGTTGTAGAAAATACTCGGTTGCCTGACACCCTTTATCATGTGAAATGATGGTATACAGTGAACTAACATCTGCTGTAACTAGAAAACTGCCTTCTTTCCATTGGTGGTTGGATAGAATTTGAAGGATATTGGAAGTGTCTTTTAGATAGCTAGGGCTCTTGACAACCACTGGTTGGAGGCATCTATCAACATACTGGGATAGTCTGCTGGAGATAGATCCAATCCCAGACACAATGGGTCTCCCTGGGGGTTTAGCCCTATCTTTATGTATCTTAGGGAGATGGTAAAAAAATGGTATTTTAGGTTGTGTTACATTTAAAAAAGTATATTCTTTTTCATTAAGTATATTCAAATTCCTTCCTTCCTCAATGAGGCTCTCATATGTAATTTTGATATCCTTAGTTGGATTCTTCTTCAAGATTTTATATGTATTAGCATCTCCCAAAAGTCTATAGGCTTCCTTTATATAATCATCTTTATCCAGGATGACAATACCTCCACCTTTATCGGCTAGTTTTATTACCAGTGAATCATCCTGCCTTAATTCTTTTAATGCTCTCCATAATTAAGGTTGAAATGTTTATTATTAGGTTTATTGATTTTCTCAATGTCTTTCATTACCATTTTCTCAAATGTTGACATCTCTTCTGAGATACAAAATTTAGGATAAAAAGACGATTTGGCCTTAAGCTCCGTATGTACAACATCTGATTTCTCTATAACTTCATTTGTTCTATTTATAGGATTCTTTAAAAAAAATTTCTTTAAAACATATTCCTTTTGAATCTATTTAGATCAACATAAACAGTGAATTTATCTAGTGTTTTAGTGGGTGCAAATTTAAGTCCTTTCCCTAGTAAATTTATTTGTGGATTAGTCAGGGTTTTTGATGAAAGATTAAAAATACCTTTTCCTTTTACTCTCTGACCTTCTTTCCTCTTTTGTATGTGAATTCCTCCTCTAATTCCCCGTCTTCTATACTCCGCTCTCTTTTCCCTGGAGTCCCTCGCCCTGCTCCAATGTCCTTGTGTCTGCCCTTCATATGATTCCCCCAAAAAACCTCCTCCTGATGGTGTGAATTAAGAACACTAAATCTGTTCTGGGTGAGTAAGTCACTTCTATCCATATTATATACAGATCTATCTCTAGTGTTCATTGCAGTTTTCTCCACCGGGTGTTGGTCCTTCCTATACATTTGGGTTTTTCTCCTCACCACTGGTTCTGGTGATTTCCTTAGTTCCCTAGAATGTTTTTGTGGTGTATCTTGTCTTTCTCTTAATGTATATCCGTGTCTTTTGGGGTTTTGTACTCCATATGTTGGCATTCTCGCTAGTTCTGGTACTCTGTTTTGTTCTCTATAGGTCCTATTTGGTGTCCCTCTCATTTTCCCTCTAGACTGATTTCTCCATTGGGGTGTATATTTAGTACATTTGGGCGTTTTTCTCCACTTTGGTAATTCAATCAGATCACCTTTGTGTTCCTCATTAAGGTATCTAGTTCTATGTCCAATTGTGTGTCTCCTATCCCTTGAAATAATAAAATTATCCTGATGTTTATAGTTATTTCTCGAGAAAGTTCTAACTTCTCCCCTTTCGTAATCAGTTTTATCTCTTAAATATTTCCTTTTTTTAACTTCTATCACCCCCTTCTCTAGTTTTTCTAAATTAACTTGGATTTCATCCAATGTATTGATCTGGGGTCATATTGGTGGTCAAGAATATTTTCAAAGTATTGATCTCCGTATTTAATTTGATCAATGTTTCTTTTCTTCTTTTAACTATAAGAGCTATTAATCCAAAGGAAAAGCTCGCCAAGAGGTCAGACCACTCCTTTATAAAGTCCTCCTCCTCCTGATCAAAGGAGGGGTTTTTGGAGAATCTGAGCCCTCTTGGTGTGATCTCTTCCCTCCTATATTTCTCTAGAGTGGCTATTTTCCCAATGAATCTTGATCTCCTTCCCTAGAGCTTTTTCTAGCTTGTATCTAGAGTTCCTAATATGATTTTTAATATCAAGGTGATCGGAGTAGTCTAGATTTATAGGATTACCCTGATCTCCAAATAATGTATCTATGTTTTTATTGTATTTTGATCTCTTTTCAAACAATGCCATATTGTTTACAAGCTGCACACACACAATGAAAGAGTTTAGAAATTAACAAACAAATACAGAGGCAGTGTGTTAACGAGGCGCTTATCTTTTATCGTGAAATATTTATAGCAGCTACCACTGTGAATAGGGACTCTCCACCCTATATATAAAAGTGATCAAGGTTAACACTCAGTGTAGGAAATTAGAAAAAAAATACCACTGGTGTATATGTGGAGCTCTCAAATGTTTACCAACTTACCCATATGGGTATGCATACAAATGTACAAAGGGAAGAAACAGTGAATCTGAAATAAATATAAATACAAATGGTGCAAGTAACGCTAGGTAACAAACACAATAGGTAAATATATAGACCCATTTCTGTCGCATTTCTGTCGCCCTCTGTTTGTTTTATCTTGTCATCTTTAACAGTGTCAGTCAGTGGTTCTGTGAACGTCCTGGAAGTATTTAGCAGGTTGTACAATATCAAAACTCACTGTTCTCTTTTGGCTCTGATTGTTCTCTGTAGTAAAAGTTCTCGGAGTCACCATCTCCAGGACAAGCTGGCCAACAGTAGGAAATAGGTGGTAGTGCATGGTGAGGTGGGCTGGAAAAAAAAATTCCCTAAATTTCTCTAATAGAACCAATGGTTCTAAGCTCTCCCTAGTGCAGAAATATGTTTGTCAGTGAAAAAACATGTAAGATTTCATATGGTGTCTCACCATTTGTATCATCAGGTATGTTGTGAATGCTCATCTGTACCATGGGAATAAATAGATACCACTGTGTGGGGCAAGCAATTAGTAACTTGGTTAATAATCATTTAACCTCAGCATTCTCCCAGACCACAACCCCACTTCTTTGGGGGTGGTTGGGGCACTGAAATACCAAATTAACCCAAATGTGGTTGCCCAGTTTTAGGTTTCCTTTGCAGTAACTGCAGGACCACCATCCAAATGGATGGTCATGGGATTATCAAATGCATACTAAGGAAGTGAGACTAGAAAACGAGGAATCAGAGGTTGCACTTCGCACAGGATATATCCAAGTAAACTTGGTACATGCATCAACACATACAAAAACATATTTATAACCATGAGATGTTAGCAAACTTCCAATATATAGTAATTCAAAAAGTATGTTAGATATTAATATTTCAATAAATAGAACATCAGTAATGTGGCAATAAGCAAATGCTTATGATTACTAAACACATGGATTACAGTATTTCCCATATTGGATCACCAATATTCCTTTTCAGGAGTCAGAAGTACATTATTTCTCTCTATAAGAGCTTGTCCTAGCCATGAAAAAGCTTTTAGGGCAAGTCTATCTTTCCTCTATAGGAAGAACAACCAACATATTACCTTCAATGGTTATTATGTAATTAACCCCTCTAAACGATAAGAGTATTTATGCGGATACCAGGTGGATTATTTCTGGATATACTTGCAAGCATAAACTCTGCATCATGACAGAGATAGGGTATGCGATGTGACCCAGTGACCACAGAAAAGCGTTGGTAGACACATTGCATTAAAGTGCCTGTTAATGACCAACTACATGAGGAGAGGGACCATGCTTTGTTATTAGCATGTCCATACACATATTACAATGCCAGGCTTTCAATTTGTTACCACAAAGCAAAATGCAGTTGTGGATATAAACTCACGATGTATCGTAAGAAAAACTGTTTGAACACCAGACTGAGATTTGAGATCAGTGAACAGTGGACCAAAATAGATAAATGAAATCCTATCAATTAATATACTTTCAATATACTTTCTTTAAATTACTTTATCCTCTGTATTAACTATGAAATATTAAAGTTAAACAAAAGCATTTAAAAGCCAACTTTTAGTGTGGATAGGAATTACAAGGCCGTTCATAATGTGAGATAAAGAACAGCTTTTTAAAAAACCGAATAGTCTGTGAACACAAAATGACCTTGCGCTGAAAACTCACTTGCAGGGGAAAAACAAAACCTTTTCTTTTTTCTTTAGTAAGTTAATTAATTAAACATAGTTAGAACCTCCCTCAAAGTCCCGATTACTTTGCAAGAAACATGTCGTCCTTAAATACTGGGTAAGTCTATTAAACAGTGAAGTAGCATTTTTACCCTGTATATCATGTTGTCACAGCTATAATGTGCAGTATAACAAACTATTTTATAAGTGTCGTGCAAACTGTTCATTAAAAGCCAGCAGTCTAGTGAGCTATAGAACATTTATTTATTTATTCTTTAAAGCTCTGACATCAATCGGCAAAGCAATATTGTAATGGTGTCCATTGCAATCTGCTATCTATTCTTGCTGCTCTCAAAAATTCTGAATATGTTCAGAGATTTATTGGGCAATAATAAATCCCCAAAAACAACAACTTTGCATTTATGCTAAACCTGCCTGTTGTAAACGTATTCTGTATATTTCTTGTCATAAGTACTTGTACTTAAATCTGTTTAACAAAGCTGTTTATATTGTGGTGTAAAATATATTTTTTATTATTATTATTTATTTTATTTATTTATTTATTTTAACTTTGCTTAACTTTTAAAGATACCTGCATATTTAATTAAATATCCTTTATATGTCTTTAAGGCATAAAATATCTGCAAATTAAGATTATATACAAAAATGCATGTTCTGGGTGTTCCCGTGATTCCTTTTCTATCATTTATTTAAAAAAAATTTAAGTCTGGAATCTGATTCCTTTTGGGGTGAGCACCCCTCTGAGCCCCTCAGTTTCAGAGACTTCTTTGGAGGTGACCACTGAAAAGTATAGATTCTACAAAATAGATGTGAGGGGGCTTTGGACAGTAAAGTTACCTTAATTATACTTTTCATATAGAAGATATGTGATATTCAATGCGATTTAATATATCAGAGTATTATCACTTTAATTGACACTGCATTTTTTTATGCATTATTCTTTATGCATTATTCTTTTTCTTTTTTTTTCTTCTTAAATTTTAATGTCTGTTTAGAATATTGCAGGCTTTGCAATATCACATTAATTTTGCAGTATATATATTCACAATGCTCTTACAACATATTATTAAAATTAGCCTTTCAGAATTGTAGAATACACGGTGGAACTGAATCCCCAGATATGAGATTTAAAACTGTATTTTTGATTTCTACGCTGTGCCCTAATCTGTATTTATATATATATATATATATATATATATATATATATATATATATATATATATATATATATATATATATATATATATATATATATATATATATATTTACAGCAGCATATAGCTTTTAAAGAAGCAATTATTTCACCCTTCATGTGTGGTTGACTGTGGACTTTTTAAAACCTACTTTTTATTTTTTTTATAAATCCGTTTCTGGCTCTGAGAGAGCAGGCTGCTGAATGCATGTAAATGCTGTTATTGCCTAGTCTATATACTTTTATTTATAAACAACATTGATATATTTATATATAAACAACTTTGATATTTAATATTATTTTATGAAAACCTAGTTTATGAAATTCACTGAGATTACATGTGTCTGATCTGATTACAGTCAGTAGTACAATATAATTGTTCTAATTTCCTTACTGCTAGTACGGTGGCAGGGCCGGACTGGCCATCGGGCATACCGGGCAAATGCCCGGTGGGCCGCGATGGCCATGGGGCCGAGGCCGGCAGGGGATCTCCCCGGCCGGCCCCTGCAGGGCCAGCGCTATCCGAGCGCATGCCCTGCTGTGTGCCTCCGTGTGCCGGTGGGGAGATCAAAGATCTCCCTCACCGGCCCACAGGCACGGAGATCCGGCCGCAGGCTGGGTGAGGGAGGGAGGGAGGAGAGAGGACCCGGCGGAGCTCTAACAAGCAGCTCCGCCGGTCCTCTCGCGGGATTCTGAGCGTTGCCGCGGCAACGCTCAGATCTCGCGAAAGTGAACTCTAACCTGCAGGTTAGAGTTCACTCTCACCACTGGACCACCAGGGAAGGCAGCATGGCTCTCCACCCCCCAGGCATAACGGATCTCCTCCTCCCCCCCTCCCAGGATAAAGGTAAGAAGGGAGGGGGGGAAATAATTTTTTTTTTTTTATTAGTAAAAAAAATATATTTAAATAAAAAATACATTCACTCACACACACAGCACCCAGACACAGCACCCCCCAGACAGACACAGCACACCCAGACACACACAGCGCCCCCCAGACACAGCACCCCCCAGACACACACAGCACCCTCACTCACACACACAGCACAGCACACTCCCACACATATACAGCACACACATATATATAAAATAACCCTCAGTGAGTTAACAGACAAA